ACCTTTTGTGTTAAGAAAAATAATAGTTAGCTTCAGCCCTGACAACAGCCCTTTTATCACTGGTGGCCTTAGCAGGCTACTGTCAAAGTCATATAGTCACTCTTTCAATGCGGTTTGTACAACCTCACATTGGTGCTTCTGAAGTGGAGAGCTCAGATAAAAAATGCTGTCATTGCCCAGAAACACCCAAATGTGTTCACATTGCTTTAATGAAAGGTTGTGTTTTATATAATGTACACATATAAACATTTTCACATTGTTTGTTTTCTGAACAAAATGTCATCAGCATCAGCACCCTGGCTTCAAGATTTCTTGAAAATTTACAGGTCTGAACAATCGGAACACATGAGCTTGGATTATTACACCATTAACCACTGGGTGGCAAGTGCGTTCCACATTCAAGATGGGGAATGAAAACCTCTTGGATTTCCTTCAATGTCTTTAAACCAAGCTAAACTTCAGAAATACTTTTGTATTTTTACTGCTCATGCAATTCATGCTACACCAGAATGAGAAGTATATTTCACATACTTTTTTCTGGAGGGAGTATTTTTTGCTAGGAAATTGCTTTCCTCAAGCTTCTTGTTTTAGTATTCCTTCTCGTTTTCATGAAACACTTGGAGCGTAATGTTTACCAGTCCTGAGTAACTCTTAGATTAGGCACAGGGAAGTCCAGTTTCAAATACCCAGTGAGACAGGAAATTCACTGTTCCAGGTGATGTATGTAACTCAGCCTGATCTGTCTGAGATTACTGTTGTGAAGATAAAATATTAATGTATTACACAAATTTATGAATCACTCTTCCAGTCAGTAAGTAACCAAGCTTTTTGCTTTTCTTGGTTTTCCTATTTAACCTCCCATCTTGATTATAGTATTATTGTAGGTTTTAATTGTTGTTTTAAGTTGCTAATACACAATATATTATGAGCCGCCCTGAGTAGACTCCTATCTAGAATGGGGGGATAAAAATCCAATAATAAATAAAATAAAATAAATATATATTATTCAAGTAAAAATGATGATGACAATGATGAAATAAAATATAATGCAAATTAGTACATTGGGGCAAAGGCCCACTAAAAACAGGAACAAAAAAACCTTTATAAAAATGTTAATAATAAAAAAATTACTAGATTAGGCCGTCACCTATCCATGGTTCCTTGTTTACTATTTTAACTCTTTTGCAATTTCAGTCCAGGATGTGATGTGCTATGTTGAGTCCAAGATAGTTCCAAAATATGAAAAAGTTTATGATATAAATCATACAAAACATGAAAAAAAATTAATACAAAAGAAAATTAATGTGTAAAAGTTGTAGCCTAGTGGCACAAATCCAGAGCAAGGGCAGTGAGAGAACTACATTGCTTTAAATATATCCTTTTAAAGTGAAAAAAGACAAGCAGGCATTTGACATTTAATGTAATTTGTGTCAGCTAATAACTTATGCTTTGAATTCCAAATAAATAAATACAAATGATTAAGTGATAGTACTACTGAAGTCACCTTGCTGTTCAAGCCAAGGATAATGGGCTTAATTCAGTCTCCTTACAAGTGGCCATCCTTGGTTGCTCAAGAAAGAAAAATGCCCATAAAAAAACTAGCCTTCCTTTTCAGAAAAGTACTAGGAATGTGGTTCAGTTAAGGCAGTAGGTGTTCCTCCCCAACACCCCAGATTTTGTTTTAGTTTTTGTTGCTAATCATCCCCAAACAGGGTGTCAAAAAAAGAGAAGCAATCTTTTTCAGTGCTCATTTTAACTTGAAAAAATATCTATTAATTTTTTTTTGTTTTACTCAAAACATTTCAAGATGTCTTGAGGGCAGGCAGGAGAGGACAGAGATGTCGTTAGTTCAGGGAGGAGAAGTTTTTAGGTCTAAGAACCCCATTTTTATCGAACTGAAACAAAATTGTTCAGTTTTCCACACCTCTTCTCTCCACCTTGTTATCCACTCTCTACTCAGCAAACCTGCTCACTCACCCTATTGCTGGATTGGCTGTAGAAAGAGGGAGAAACATAAACATAAAAGCAGTGGCACTAACCATGACTAGCAACAGAGATGAGATCTGGCAAGCCAGACACAGAAGGCATTTGAAGACCATTAACAGAATCTACAATTACATGACTCACCACTAAAAGCGGCAAGACAGGGATAACTAGCCACTGCCAAAAACACAGAAGCAAACCTCCATTAATAGGAAGTGAAGAGTCCAGCTTGACCAGCTGCCTCCAAACCTCACTGCCCTGGATCAAGTTCACATCCTCAATGTTACAAATGGCTATGCTTGGACACATTGTTTGGATTAATGAACAATGAGGGTAAGTTTCCAGGCTGCCTTGCACATCTGTTGGGAAAAGGATATTTAGCAAATCTTTGGATGCTTTCTTATGCTTGGAATCTCTCTTAGCGTAACTAAAATTCATGTTTGAAACCATGGTTTTCATAAATAGAGATGCAAATAGCATGCAATAAACATTCGGCAAGTATATTTAAATATATGTATAAAAATATGCCCCTAGTATGCCAACTGTATTTCTAATTGAAAACTAAGGAACTACACAACATGCATAACTTTTATCAAAGACAGTAATGTACTGTATATGGGCTGCAGTTGAAGCCTCTTCAGAACATTGCTACAAACAAAAACTTGACCCACTTTTTAGATGGAACTATATTTAAAGTGTCTGATGCAGACTGATCAGTTTTCACTAAGGGCCACTAGTTCATTTTTGAGCAGAATGCTGATTATGCATAGACCAGAAAGTTGCCAGAAACTACTGACAAGAGAAAAGACTTATAAAGTGGACATAAGAGTCTGCAAGATTGTACATGTTCAGAGCAAGGGCCAGACATAACAGGGGCCAAAGGCAGAACACATACAAGACAGAAGCTTCTTGAAGGAAGCCACAGAATTGAGTTTGGGTGGTTAATGACAAAACATTTTGGCGATCTCTCATTCATAGGGTTGCCATAAGTCAGCTGCAACTTGACAGCATAGAAGAACAAGAAGGAGGAGGAGGAAGAAACTTCATGCTTCACTGTTCAAAAGAAAGGAAACACTAGTTTACCAAATGCTAAAGATTCCTTACAACTTTTGTGATTCTTCTTCTTAACAATGTCTGGTACAGTTACGTTTTAGAGTCAGTGAGGAATCCAGCCAAGCATTCAGCTTCTGCTAAATCTGTGCAATATTAGCAGGGGAAAGGAGGAATGGCTGTCTAACATTATGCTGACTCAGTTTCCCCAAGTACACACCTCTCTTGGGGAATGAGTAAGATGATTTCCACAAGCACCTCTAAAGCAGGGGTGGAAAATGTGAGAAGACCAGGAGCCACTTCCTGCTCTCCCAATCTACCACATCCCTCCCAGAAAAACTAGAAATGACCAGACGGTCTCTTCTGGGTCTTTAATAATAATAATAATAATAATAATAATAATAATAATAATAATAATAATAATAATAATAATAATAATAATAACA